GCCCACTGCGGGCCGCGCGGCCGGCGCCTGCGGCTCGGGGAGCGCCACTGCCCCGTCGCGTCTCCACTGTCCGCTCCGTGCAGGAGCGGGATTAACCCCGCCGGTGGGAGGCAAGGGCAGGCATAACTCATTTTTTTTTTCAATAAAATGACTATTTTTTAAGCAGGAACTGTTCCTGGGGTGAGCAGTACCAAGCCACAATGCAGGGGACAGAAAGTCCCCGCTTTGAGAGCTACTATTAATTGAATTTATCCGAATCTTGTCAAGATTACACCTTTTGTGCAATGACCGTTGCCACCATAAAGGCAGCCAATAGAAATGTGGATTTGGAGGATATCTGGGTCTTTCCAGTGACTTGGAGCCAAGCCCTGAGCAGGCAAAGCAAAGCCCCTCTCTGCCTCAGTTTCCCCACCTGAGGAAATCAGGTCGATTCTCTTTTCTGCAGCATTTTGGTGACCAACGCCCTGAACACCTCATCCTCAGAGAGAAGCGGCTGTCACGTCCCTGCGAGCGGGAACCACTTCCTCATGCCTGCGGTGAAAAAAACTCCCGTTGCTGAACAATGGGGCCGCGACGTTGTTCGAACCCCGCGGCCTCCAACACCCCAAAGGTGTCGGGCTCCAATCTGATCCCATGTCCTGGGTTTCAGAGCACTGGATCCAGCTTTCCTTGGCAAATGCTGCAAAAGGGACTCGTGAGCTCTCTTGTTAGTGCCCTGAAGCCCCAGCTGAACATTGCACTGAGGATGCAATGCTTATTCAGCCGTGTTGGCTGCGTTTTCCACCTTCTGTGCCCATGTTGGTAGTGAGCGCATCCACTTAGATGAAAATCCCTTCTCCAGGGGAGAAAAAGGGGCTTTTTCTCCCTGTTCCGTCTCATGGAGGGCGAAGCAAAGGGCGACTCAGCATTCCTCCGTGTCCGCTGCTGAGTCACCACGTTTGCCTTTCATCTGCCGCGGCAGCTTCGGCGCGGAAAGCAATTCTCCCCCCCCGGTCACCAGCCCCCGGGGCATCGCTCTAATTTAACCTCACTGTCTTCCGTCCCGCTGTGAGCTCGGGGCTCGGGGCTGTGCCCTCTCTCTGGAACAAGTGCCAAAAGTGTCAACCCCTGTCCCACCCATCCTGCCCTCTCCATCGCACTTTGTAGCAGGGGGTGGATGAGGGTGCGGGAGCTGTCCCCCACCCCTCCATCCCCATCCCTCTGGCCAGCTCTGGGCTGGCAGCATAAGTGGGTTTTGCTCCAGGGGATCCGCACGCAGGGACACTGATGGGGTAGGGACACAGCCACAGACCTCGGGGACCTGATGGACCCATTGGCAGAGGCCAGGCTCCACCCCCGAGA